AATAAACTTTATTTTAATATAAAAATAAAAATTATTTCTTATTAAAATTATAAATTTTAATATAGAAAGAAAATTTTGATTTTCACTATGTTTTATTAATAAATTTAGCTCCTGAGTCATTACTTTTGGTCACTATTGTAATTAAAAACTTTTATATATAATTAAAAAAAATATTTTATTAATTATAATTAATAAAAAATTTAAGTATTATATTAATTTTAATTAGCATTATATAAAAAGTAAAAAGAATTTTTTTATTTTATATTTTATATTAATATAATTAATAAATAATATATATAATTAATATTTTCATCTATATTTTAATAATAAAATATTTAAAAATATGAAAGTTTATAAATAAATTCTTTAGAATATCCTAAATAAGATTTATTAATAATATAAGATATATTAGCTTAATAAAATTTTGTGAAATTTTATATTAAATATAATAAATTAAATATTTGCATAAAAAAAAATTATTTAAAAATATTTTCAATAAGTAATTTTAAAATAATTTTTTTTAAAGTTATTTCATACAGATATTTAATTTATTATATTAATATAAAATTTTATTAAGCTAATATATTTTATATTATTAATAAATCTTATTTTAAAATATTTTAAAGAATTTATTTGTAAATTTTATATTTTTTAAATATTTTATTATTAAATATAAATAAAAGTATTCATTATTATTATTTTTATTCTTAACTATTTATTTATTAATAAAGAAACTTAAATTAAATAAAATATTTTATTATTTTTAATAAATATTTTATATATTTTTAATAAAAAATCTTAATTATATAATTAAATCTTTATAGTTATAATTATTCTTTTTGAATTTTTCTATTATTAATTAACTATAATTAAAAAAATCTTTTTATAATTATATCTCTTTATAATTATATAATTTTACTTTTTTAAGTATAATAATTACAAAAAAAATCTAATTTTATTTTTTACAAATTTGAATTAAGTTTAAAAAAGATATATATTAAATTATAATTTATAATTTTATTATAAAAATTATTTCTTAATAAATCATAACTTTTAATATAGAAAAAAATTTCAATTTTTATTATATTTTATTATAATCTTTTGATTTCATAAAATTTTTTAAAATTAATTTTTTTAATATAAAGATTAATTATCAATTTGAAAATTATAAAGTTTTCTTTGTTTTTTAATATTTAATTTGTTATACCATTGAAAATCTCATTGAACAGCATTTTATAATTAGATATTTATTTTTGAAAGTTTTGAACCGTAAAAAAAATAAATTCATTATTTTTATTTCTTTATATCAGAAGTTGTATCTTATATTCTGACACTATTACTATTAATACTATTATGATTATTCCTGAACTGAGCAACACGAAAATCTACATTCAAAGGATTGTTGATTGATCAGTCAACACAAAAAAGAATTCTATTCGAAAATTGTTATTATCGAATAATCTGCAAAATAATTAAAGACTCTGATTAGTAGTAACCTAATCATCCATTATCCTCATTATTGCAAGAATTGTTGCTGGTTGTTTGCGATTGTTGTAAGATCCAAAAACATAATGAATGGCAAAGAGGAGAGTGATGACTATTATTTATCTCTGTTGCTCGGTTTAACTTGATCTTCGCCTTTCACCATCGACTGCTACTTCCCCTCATAGTATTAGTGCTACCGAATCCACGGCCACTGCCGTATCTCTGACGTCCTGTATACGAAAGAAAATTAGATAAAACTATTTTTCATTTCTAACAATAGATATAGAATAAGAATCAACATACTTTCTATACTTGAAGGGGTGACGATTTTGGATAATTCTATTAATTTAGGGTCAATTTCTTGATTTGCTTCTCGCAAAATATTGACCAAATCTTTAGCTTGTTTAGAGTTCTCCATTGTGAAAAAAGTTATAGCAGCGCCCTTAGCACCACCACGTCCTGTTCGACCAATGCGATGTACATAATCCTAAATGATTTCAAAAATTGTAAGTAAATCTCGTAACGCATAGATAATAGCAAGAAAACTTGATAATAATGGTAATTACCTCAACATTGGTCGGAAAATCGTAATTGATAACTAGCTTTACATCTTTCACATCTGAAGGAAAAAAGAGCGTAAGAAATAAAGATCAAAGATACTAAATGTCAAAAGATGTGCTGCTTCCTATTATTATCACTTGGCGCCCAGAAAGTGCACTCATGAACTGGATGAGATAATGTCAGAGCATCTTCATCTCAACAATATGGCAAACAAATAGAATCTCAACGACAAAAACAAAAACTTATCATCTGTCAGCAGTATCTGGGCAATCTTATTATTATGCGAAACAGAAAACAAACAGACACAGCACATGACATAGAATTATCAGACCAAGAAGGATATGTAAGCCCCATGCCAAGTATATAAGCAGCGGCAAGCAACATTTCAATAAAAGACCGTCGCTGAACTGGATTGTCATGGAAAGAGAGGAGAGGTGGCAATTGTCATTTCCATCCGTTGGATATTTCTCGTTGATGGCCAGGTCACGTAGACACATAAAGGCCACACAGTGGAGAATTTGATGCGGGATGAAAGTCAAATAAAACTTTTGAATCAGCCAAGGCCAAGACAAAAACTTTTTTTTTATGCTTGTGAGTGTTATTATTTTGATCATTGGCCTCTTGGATAAAAGAGACCAGAGAGAGAACCCAGGATGACAACCAGCCATTGGACGGAATTTTGATCTGTAGCAGTTGTTGCCCACAGCTACTACTGCTGGCATTTTAGGGACCTACATACGCTCAAAAAAAAAAAGAGGAAAGATAATTCGTTATAGAGTAGAACATTACATAGTATAATTGAAAGCATATCATACCAATCCCGCGGGATGCTACATCCGTTGCTACCATAATCGGTGATTTTCCAGTTCGGAATTCCGATAATACCCAATCACGCTCTGTTTGAGCTTTATCACCGTGAATTGCCAAAGCTGGCCATCCATCCTGTCGTAAGTATTTTGTGATTTCATCAGCTGTTCGTTTGGTTCCAGTGAAGATCAGTGTTTTGTTATCTCGCGCGTCCATTATGCGTTCAAGATGTTTCACCAATCTAGTGTTATTTGTTGATTTGGTTAGATTTGAAGTTAAAACAAAAAATTGAAACGGAAAGCAAAGAAAAATTATATAATTTGTACTTTGAGCGTTTTTCATATTCAGAACAGACTTCGACAGTTTGTGTAATATTATGACTTGCTGATAAATCCATCGAGCCTATGTTGACTTGAATGAAATCATGCAAGTAGTCTTCTGCGAGACGTTTCACCTCTTTAGGCCATGTAGCACTCCACATAAGTGTTTGTCGATCAGGTCGAATTTGATCAACAATTTTTCGTATTTGTGGCTCGAAGCCCATATCTAACATACGATCTGCTTCGTCTAGGACAAGATAAGTAACGCGACGAAGATTTGTGCGCCTCGATTCTAACATGTCGATAAGTCGCCCAGGAGTTGCAATGCAAATCTCTGCACCTGAGAATTAAAGGAAAAAATTTCGAAAATTGAAATTAATTAAATACTTATTATTCTATGTTGTATATGTCCTCCTCACCTTGCTGTAGTTCGCGAGCTTGAGGTCCTTTTGGAACACCGCCATAAACACACGTGTTCTTAATTTTTGATGATTTGCCAAATTTGGTACATTCATTCTGAATTTGAACTGCAAGTTCACGAGTAGGTGCCAAGATCAAAACAATTGGTCCATCGCCAGGTTCAAGGAATGGCTGAGCATTTATGTGTACTATAGCTGGCAAACAATATGCTAATGTTTTACCAGAACCGGTTTCAGCAATACCCACCACGTCTCTACCAGAAAGAGCCATGGGCCAACCTTGTGACTGAATAGGGGTTGGTGCTGTGAATCCGAGTTCTAATACCTCCTTTAATACATAAGCTATGAAAAACAAATTAATGAATAAAATTTCTTATTATCGCTTGGTAGATCATTGAATAAACAAAATGATCTTAATTGAAGTACCAGGAAAATTTGCTTCATCAAAGGTTTGCACCGGTTTGGGTATATCACGACCGAAAACTTTCATTTCATGTTTTCGACGATATTCTTCAACTTCAGTTAGAGAGCGTGCTGCGACATTCGGATGTTCCCGATAAAAGTTCTTTTCGAATTTAGTGAGTTTCGAAAGATCCCAATCTTGACGAGTTAATGAAGAGCCCAGTGATGACATTCGATCAGCGGCACTTGTACTCGCCCCGCCAGAAGCATATGAACGATAGTTGCCCGAAGTAGAGGAATATCGATCAGCATTTGCTCCTCCTCCCCCACCGCCACCGCTACTTCCATATCGATCATAGCTTGTTGGACTACGATCTCGATAATTTGAACTATTGCGAGATTCATACCTAGAAGAATTATTGTACCCAGAATAATAATCATATTCGCTAGAAAAATCAGTAAAAAACCAGGTGTGTAGTTGTTTCTCTTTTTTGACTGTGTGTCTTATTAAAGAGATTCGAACAAACCGACACAGGGATGGACTTACTCTTTACGCTCTCGTCGGCTGCGATCATCATAAGACCGATCGTTTCCACGATCACCATTGCTACTGCTACCGTACCTTGATGAGTATGAACTTGACCCGTAATTTCCAGTTTTGTTGTATGAAGAGTTAGGGTATGATGAGGCATTATTGTTGGTGCTACTGTTATATGAGGATGAAGGCGGAGGTGCTGCCGAATACGAGGAGGTTGTAGGTTGTGGGTACATTCCTGGTGGTAGTGGCGGTGGTACACCCGGTGCTCCGTAACTTGAAGGGTAAGACATTTCTTTCTCGAAAAAATTGTAAGTTATCTTTTTTGCTTATATGGTTATTGAGAGATATAATGATATATTAGTCAGCTCTACTCTTTCTTGTGAACCAGCAACAATCTGAAATATTGAGGAGGAAGAATTTTTCAGGAGACGTAAAAACTTTTATAATTGTTATTTTTTATATTGATGGGAAAATAATAACACGCATCATATTTAGTATCACTTACGTATACACCCTCAATTGATTCGAAAAGCGCAGCAGCTAATCATGTTACATGTATTAATCAGGGAGTCTTGAAAATTAACGTTAAAAGAAATTCTAATACCGATACACAATAACCAACAGCCAATCAAATCAAGCTACCCTCGGAAATGTTTATTTTGTCTGGATAAGATTTAATCCGGGTCTTAACGTCAATCCGACTTACTGAGACTCTGCACTTCTCGCTTTAAAATTGCTCTAAACTATATAGGTTGAAAAAATACAAGAGTTGATTCCATTTATAAAAGAATAGAAATAAACGAATATGTATGAACCATTTAACATGAAAAAGAATTACACAATCCAGACTCCGGCGTTCATGCAAGGGTATCTATCATGAAGACTTAGTCTCTCTTCTCCTTCGAAAAACTATATATTACAAGGCTTTTTGTAGTAGAAATGATTTTATTTAATATATAACATGTAAACACGTAAACATACACAATAGAAGGCCTTCAACCACCTCAATTACTGAGGATGCAAAAGGAGTTGATTATACGCAATTAACCGATGCAATGGCTTTTACGGGGGTAGATTTGCAGGTATGCGCGTGTGTTTAAAACAAAAATTTGTGGGTTAATTAATATTCAATAATTCTCGCACGAAAAACTTTTTATTATAATTGATTAATTGTGAAACTAGGAGGAAAGCGAGTACCTACAGAAAGAAGCTTTACAATCTCCTGGAGGTGGTGCTTTTGGGATGGACACTGATCGCTCTAAATTTCAGAAATTTATGAACCCGAGGATCTTACAGGCTCGCGTTAATTCAATAGGTGAGAGGGCGTGTCTTGATTCTGTAAAATGTCAAAAATACTTAATCGGACATTTATCTATTCACCAGTCCAGAAGCATAATTTAAATGTTCACCCTGATGTATATCAATGTCTGGCTCTTGCGGCCGAAGAACGAACAAGAGTCTTACTAGAACAAATGTGGAAAGTCAAAAATCACCGGACGCGCTCAGATCACTTGCATGAACCGCCGCTTTCTGCAAATGATAAACCTTTATATAAGGAGATCATCACTCAGGATGTGAAAGCACAACTGCTTACGATTGAAAATGCTGAACGGGAGGAAGAACGAAAGAGGAAAGAGATTCTAACAAAAAAGAATAAACCAGAGAAATCTGAAGTAGCTGGTGAGCAAGAAAAACAGAAACAAAGATTAAAAGAGGCTCCAAGATCCACACAAGCACTCAAGAAACAAAAGAAAAGGGCCACTGCAAAAGAAACCATAAAAAAAGTCACCTCAGAAGCGCAAAAGTCGAAAATAAGTACTAATGAAACAGCGCTGAAAGCTGCTGGTGGATTAACAAAAAGCTGGATGATAACGACACCCGTTGAACCAACACCACCATTACCACCACCTTCTGCATCAACAACAACAACAACAACAACGGCGTCATTTAATGGAGTTGATAGCCGAGGTTTAGGACGTGGTCGAGGTCGTATTGCTTCTATAAGTCAGTCAGCTAAAACTGTCTCATCTGCAATATCAACATCTTCACCATTTGAAATTTCAACAACATTAGAAAGTAATATATCATCATCGCCACCTCCCTTACACGCTGTTAATCAAAATACAATGATCACAGTGATGGATGCGCTACAAGTATTAGAAAATGATCGTAGCGTGGGATCCGGAGGAATTAATCAAAAGATCATAATGAGAGGATATGCGAAATATTTACGTTAAATTGAGTTAATAATATAATATGGGATATATCAATCATTGATTATTGATCATTGATCATTTATAATCAATCATCTTTTGAAACTCATTTATTATATAATCCAATCATCATGATATCTCACATTGTCGTTATGATTGGGTTTGTCATTCATGTACAGTCGCACTCCTCTAAGTGCGTAGCCATCGGACCATAGTACAAATATTTTTGAGGATTTATGCATGTGAATAAAAATTCAAAACGCGTCTGTATGCAAAGATGCTTTTGTGACACATGAGATGATCTTTTATGCGCAATCGAAAAATTACCATACACGGAAATGATTTTGTAATTTTCAGACTGTCATTTCGATAACGATAAATATATCTTTATACCCCCAAATTATTTTTTTCACACTTGTATAAAACACACAATGATAGATCACCTTTTAGGGAGACCTTCTCCATCTTGGAAGCGAGCTCAAGTTATTATAGTTTCTCTATTTTGGTATCTCATTCATTTACATAGAATTTGTTCAATCATTACGGTATAAATTTATTTAATTTTTGCAAAAAATAGTAAAGTTTTATTGTTTGTAATTCGCAATCAAAAGGTTTTTTTACTTGCATAAAGCTGATAGACGAGGTCCAAATTTTTTTCATAGATGGAACGAGAGACTCTGTAGGTCCTTTCTTCTTGATCCCACGTGTTTAATAGATACCTGTATTAATTATCATACCTTAATTGAAATTTAGCTCGATTTTCTCCTTTTCAATTGGTTGCGGGCACATTAGCCTGTCTGTACATACTGAAGAATGCTGATCGATTAGTTGGACTTGGATGTAATTATATTGCTTATTTGGTTAAGATTCCTCTCAATCATCAATCTATATTAACATGCTTTCTTATCTTTCCGTTAGCACCTGAACCACTAGCACGTCTTGTATGTATGCAGCTAGTCACAATAAATAATAATAATAATAATAATATGAAAGTCGCAATTCTAGCAATTAATATTTGCAATCGTTATATTTAACAGTACAGCCGTAATTTTTATCGCGCTACTTGGATTTTGACAGCTTTAGAAGCTGGATTTTGGACTGCGATGCCAATTCGACCAAAATTTTTGAAGGATATTATGTCATTAGTTTTTTCAGGGTATTACTTAATATTTGCGGACCAAGCCGAAGAAAAGGTTCGATGATTATCACAATTGCAACTAATTCCTCGATTTATTGATCTGAATATAAAATGTCTATTAGACGCGTCGAATACGTGCAACAGTTACTGTTGAGCACATCCGAGCCTCCTGGGAAAGAATGTTAAACCCGTATCTCCATGCTGCAATAAGTCTCACACACCCACACCTCCGTATTCATCAAAGAAAGATCTATATTCAACGACCAAAAGAAAACCCTTACAGTAAGAAACAAATTACCGCGTACATATATTACTCGGGCACCGAAGATTCCTTCCAAGTTGCCGATCGCATAATTCTCGATTTTCCTGGAGGTGGTTTTATAAGTATGCCTCCACCATGTCACAAAGATTATTTATCGTATTTGGCGGAATGGACTAAAATGCCGATTGTGAGCATTGATTATGGAAAAGCGCCTGAATATCCGTATCCGTATGCACTTGAGGAATGCTTTGATGCTTATCGAAGTATCATGGAAAGTAATGGTGAAACTATTGGAATGCTTGGATGGTTGAATAAAGATGGTAGTCAAAGACAGCAAATTCAAGTCACTCTGGTTGGTGATTCTGCGTACGTGCATTTTTTTTATTTTGAGTTTGTTTTTCCCATAAATTTTTTTAGAAAATATTTATTCATTCTTACATATATAATTAAATAATAAAAGCGGTGGCAATTTAGTGGCATCAGTTATGCTCAAAATTCTCGAGTACCCGAAACCATTAGCACACCCTTCAGGACTTGTCCTTATATATCCATGTTTAAATTTCGATCTCAATTGTTGGATGCCACAATCACATTTATCAGTTATACGCGCAGAATCCACCGAATCAATTCCTGGTGTACTTGAATCAAAAGATCATTTGCATCATAAAAGTCCGTTATCTGTTGTGCCGGATGTGAAACCGAAAAGAAGATGGCGAAAAAATTTATCTGCTTTAAAGGAAGATGAAAAGCCAATTGAAGAAAGAGTTCAATTTATTGAAGGGCACAAATTAGAATCTAGCGAGAAAAAAAAACGAAGTCAAATTATTGGTACACGACTGGCTATGACCAGTCGTATGAGTTTCTTTAATGATAGAATTCTTACACCTGATTTGGTAAATACATTTAGATTATTTTTTTGAGAATCTTTATGAAATCCTGATATTAATAATTAAAATCTTTTTCACGTCAAACAGATGCGAGCAATGGCACTTCTTTATCTTGGACCAAACAATTACCCAGATTTCACGTCAGACTATTATCTTTCCCCAATTGTAGCACCAGATGAACTACTAGCACAATTTCCCAAAATATATCTCATGTGTGGCGAGAAAGATCCATTAATTGACGACACTGTCATTTTTGCGGGTCGTATTCGTGAAGCTAAGCGAAGAAAAAGGCAGCTAGCTGACGGAGGCAAATATGGAGAAAGCTTCCGAATGAGTGGCATGTCTAATGCGAATTTTGACGACATCATTGAGGTTAAGGTATTACAGGGTGTTAGTCATGCTTTTTTGCAGATGTTGGCATTGTTGCCAGAAACTAAAGGCGCTGTTCGAGTACTTGCTAGATGGTTAAAGGCAAGCTTCGAAGAAAAACCTGCTACGCGAAAGAGTTTTAATAAAATTAATAGTAATCTACAGAATGAATCAGATGTGAACAATGAAGATGATGAAGGAGTAATATTTACATCACGTCGATCTACAATTAATGATCTTGCAAAGGCAAGCCTGCAGATACAGCCACAAGCCAATGGCAAAGCCTTTCCACATTCCAATTCATCTGATGATTACGATCATAATAATAGTATACCACAAAAATCACATCTTCACATATCCGCCTCATTTCCAAATACAACTCAACTCGAGAATGGCGATGGCACCTCTGCTCATATTCACACTTCTGCATCCGGAACCTTATTAACACCAGTGACTCCGTCTCATGAACGAGAACGTGTTCTCTGGGAACAAAAAAATATTCTCAACGAGGCAGAAATTTTAAGGCGACGACGCGAAAATTTGGTTCGCGGATTACGTGACGGATGTGATGAACAATCTTCTTCTATGGACGATTACTCGTCTTCGGATCCTTCTGCTTTCAGCGAGTCGGGAAAGCCAAGTGTGAATTCGAGTTAATTGATTTCTATATTTGTATAGATGATTAATTTCGTTGGTCTCACTGATGTGTCATGCAATATGTGAATTAATCGAAAATGCATGAATGGTGGTTGATTCGCTTTGATACTTAATTGTGTAATTGTATTTTTTTTTGTAAGTTTAAACCTTATAATTTAACTGGATAGAAAATAATTAAAAAATCATTACACAATAATTATTAAAATTTTAGATATGATGTAAATAATTCCTTAATCCAAAAAGGAGTAATGTTTTCATAATTATTTAATAATATTAATCATGAAAAATATTATGTACAAATAACAAGAAAAAATATTAAAAAAGATCTTTCCCCCATAAATATACAAACATGAGACAAATAAATAATAATTATTGGTGAATAATAGTACACGTTATGTATTGCACTGGCTGATTGATCTTTCTTTGTAAACACAGCATCAATATCTTATATTATTAAAAGTCATCGCCGCTTTCCTCCTCCTCCTCCTCATCATCATCATTCACACTTATATTCGTTTCTTCCTCATCTTCCGACAGTACGCCAAAAAGCGCCCCCGGATTGCTGTCATCATATACGGGTTCCTCGTCTGCTATTGTGAGAACAGATGGTTTATGCGTTCGTGCAATCTTTATATATATCAAGATTAAAGAGTTTTAATCAAAAATTGTTAAAGATGCTTAAAATGATATATATTATGTATTATATCTACCTCTTCGACTCTCGCGCAAAACTCCTCAAATGCCTGGGCGTCTCGACAATAGAATCCGAGTAGCATCGACGGATCTAACTGAGATATGTGAATTTTTCGTAGTGTGTCGCAATGAAAAGTGGCTAATTCCTGTTATGAAATGAGTTGATCAGTAACCAGAGTATTTATGAAATGTGATGTTTCATGAGCAATTTCTTTCATACTTCATCTGTAAATTCATCAATGTCTTTTAAATCAACAACTGGTCGTGAATGATGTGGGTCAAGATAAAACAGATCATCTCCTAGATTCATTATCAAAGAAAATTATAACGTAAATTTGTGCATTATAATAAAAGAGGATTCAAAAGACCCTAAATATGAACACAAACCTTGAGACCCAATAAAATAATAAGACGAGGATGGCTTTCCACTACGAAATTAATTTAAGAAATATCTGCCTATAAGCATTAAAACTATTACTAGCATCAAGGATAATATTATATGATAGAACTACATACCCTGCTATTCCTACGCTTTCTGGAAATCGAAAGAATGCTTTCAACGCATCATAGTAAATTGGATTAAGCTTATTGGGGCCCAGTTTAATAGCCACCAAAATCAAAACTGACTGGAATTCTTGATGGTTTTGATTATTTCGTGCTGCTTTGTACACCTCATTTTTGTATACAACTCCGTCTGTTGAAACGTGAACGCTTAATTGTGCAGTGGGAAAATTATCAACAAGCGCCCTTTAATTATCAAAATTAGATGTTATTAAATAATAAATATCTTAAAAATTATTCGATTCAATGCTTTAAATAGACTGACTGACTTTATGGCCTGTGATGCAGTCGATGGTCCAAACCATTCTCCGATATTCTTTCCGAGTTGTTTTCCCAAAAGTGCAACACGGTGAACGGAAAATGGACAAATCGATGACATATCATCAAGGAACCAAGTCAATATCTAAGTTTCGATGAATAAATTTGATAATTTAATTATAAAGAGAAGCTCCGTTTATATGTTGAAGAAATTAAGGAATACTCAACCTACCTGTGTATATGTTCCCCATGTATCTTCCCCCTTACGAACTCTCCGCCATTCTGTATTAAGTGTTTAGCAATTGATTTATTGAATGACTGATTGATAAATTTCAACGATAATTAAAAAGCCTTACCTCGGCCTAAGAATTGAATTATTAATGCATTCGCTAACAGTGATTGCCCAGTTCTCAGCATACACCCCCATCCAGCATCACTCGTGAAATTTGTTGGTCGTATTGGTGCATAATTATGTCGATAAGTGCACCATATCCTTGACGTGAAATCATCGTAAAATTCACTGGGATACGATGCAAAACTCAGCTGCTGCTGTTGACCAGGCAGATGCGGAAAAGATCCCGGAGGGGAAAAGTAATATGTCGTAGGATCATAGAAAGAACGGCTTGATTCACTTGATGCTCTTTCGGTAACTTCATATCGTACACCCATCAACCAAATACTAGCATCTATTGTAGCTGCACGACTACTAGAATCTGCTGCTCCTATTGTTGAATTATTTTCAATGCTATCTAAGTGTCCTCGTTTAAAATGGGCATATTCGGGATCACCTTCATCCGGAATGGTGTCTGCACTTTCAGCCGGGTCATGTGGTGGCACCCAAAATGAACTGAACCAGCTTGTTATTCTTTTTCCCATATCTGATGGACCTAAATTCTCACGTAGAGATGATTCCCCATTCCCATCATCATTTTTATTATTATTATTGTTGTTGTTGTTATCGCTATCGCTATCGCTATTGCTATTATTATTAGAAGAGGAACGTGTTCGTCCAGGCCTTTGTCGCAACTGTGGTGTTGTTTCTTCATTATTGTCATGTTCTTTTTTAGATGAGATAGCGATTACCGAAGTATCTTCAGATAAATTCGATTTTTCTTTAACTTCATATTCATTAGTATCTTCTATTTCACCACTATCCGCATCAATATTTGAATTATCTGAATTTTGTTTAATATTGTTAACAGTAGTTGATGTTGTTTCACGGTCCCCGCCGTCAGTCAATGATATATTCGAAAGATTTTCTTCCAAAAATAATGCGTTATTATTATTGGCAACAGCACTATTGTCAAGCCCTTCTTTTTCTTCTTTTGAATTTAAGACTAAAGGTACCTCGTCGATAATGTTATCTTTATTATTAGTGTCCATTTTATTATTTGTAATTATTGTTATAAGTTAAGGCGTAGAACCTTACTTATCACTTTTTCCAAAGGTGATAGCTAATACTGAAAATTATCGAGAGCTTTTAAAGACTAAAAAACCCTTCGCCTGAGAAACTATAAAAATATATAATAATAATAATAATAATACTACTACCTGCGGAGAATAAAATTATTGTAGAGTAACACGTGATAATAAAAATCGAGTGGGTATTATTATATTAATGTAACATACTTTTAGACTAATAAATACTACCCATTTACACATTCTCTTGGACGACAAACAACTTTTTATTGTTTAATAATAAAGATGAATACATGTTTTTGCAGTTTTGTTTGATATTTAATGTAATATGAATGATGCTAATGAATTATTTATTATTAACTTCTAGAGATCCAAAAACTTCAATAAATATTAACTAATAATTTTGGTGTAAAATCAATTCAGAGAATATTTACTTTCTTCCAAGTCTTCGTGGATCCCGTTTGCTGCTGCTTCCTTCAGTCGTGGGATGACGAGACGATGACGATAGCGAGCTCTTAATTTGACCAGATGTACCTTCAAAGTTATTATGACTTTTTGTTGAAGACGATGAAGACCTGTTCAGCTTTATTGGTGATCTCGGTGATGAGATTGGCTGATGTGACGATGATGATGAAACGACCGTTTTAGTTTTCTTAGAGTTTGGGCTATCGCCATCACGATCCCGTTCTCTTTTTGTGGAAGTCGAAGAAACATGACGGCTAATACGATTTGATGAATCCATTTCCTCAACTGGCGTTTTTGGACGTCTTGTGGTTATATCATCTTCACGAGGTCTTCTTCGAGGTGGGGAAGGTTCTGGGCGACGAGTATTACCACCAGTTTCTTCATGACGTCGTGTAGAGGTTGATTCTTGTGTTCTTCTATCGTTAGATCTTCTTTCATCCCTCGGAATTTCTCTGCGTTCATCTAAACGTTGTGTTTCTCTGGGTTTTTCTTCCCTAATTTTTTCATTAACTCGCTCCTTGTCTCGACGATGATGTTCACTCGCCCTTTTTTCTTCGTTAGGTGCAGGATTTCTCTTGTCTGGAGATTCCTCAGGGGCTCGTATCCGCGTAGTTCGATCACGACTTCGTTCTCTTTCGGGTCTTTCGCGCCGGGAATCTGAACGTTCTTCAACACGCAGCGTTTCAGATTTTTCAGGTTTAATTTGTTCTGGTTTTGGTTTCTTTGGTAATGGATGAACCATTGTACCAGACTTTGGTGCAAGATTGGACGAAGGGGATGATGCTGAAACTGGTTGATTTGTAGAGGCGGATGTCAACGATATTTGTGGTTTTGGACTTGAAACCCTTGAAATCGGTTTCTTCTCTGGTTGAGGTGACTGTGATGATTCAGCGATTGATGTGTTTGCAGGTTGAGCTACTGATTGGGAAGATGGTGTCTGTTTATCAGTTTTTGAACTTTCAGCAGTGGTAGAATTTGTAGTAGGTATAGATCCTCCTTTTCTACCTTGTTTTGGCGTATAAAATTTTTCTTTTAGAACCCAAAGTTTTTCTCGTTTCTGTAATATCCCCACATAACTTTTCGCAAGAACTTTGATTTCATCAAGTTCAGATTTATTTGCGATTTCGTCAACCTTCTTTTTTAAAGCATCTCCATGCTGTATAAGCGCAGGGAAATAGTCACTGATGCAACTCAGCGCGATCAAAGCATTTCGATATTCGATGAATTGACTTGATCCGAGAGCATTGATGAAAGCTGTTCGAAGCTTGCAATGCCACTTATGAAATACTTCACGGAATTCTTGATAATTAATAAGATCTGTTTTGGAGACAACGAAAGCCTGTCGGTTTTGCGTAGGCCATTTCATTATGAAGCCAGGTAGTCCATGCTCACCTTGTCCATATTGTTTAAAAGCTTCTTCATCACCATGAAGCTTTGAAAGAAATTCTAGGATAGTGTTTAAGAAGCGACCATAATGTCTCGCCTCTTGTTCTGTCATTGTGAAAAGTATTATTTGAACGGATTCTGTGAAGATTTGATCGTATAATGTCAATGTGGAGAAATTTGCAGTTCCTAGCTCATGCATTCGTTCAATGAATTTCGCACAGTAGAGCGCATCGTCTGCCGAAGAGGAAAGCCGCGGGTATAGACAGTGTTGCCAAATGGCGTTGACAATTTCCTTTCGTTCCGCCAAAAGGTTTGAGAACCAATGATCTTTCTCAATGTTGAGTCTTTCTTTAGCACGAGCGTAGTGAGCTTCGTGTTCAATTCGGTCTTCATCTACCTTTTTTTGAATGCTTGTAAATCTCTCTTTTTCACGTTTCGACCGATGATTCTCGCTTATTTGTTTTTTTAATTGGGTTAAATAACTTGAATAGACTTCTTTAGGATATATGATATCATAAAGACTCATTTGCCAAAACGTCGTATAAAATTCAGGGCTTATTTTTTCCCAGACTGGAGCCGGTAAGGTTTTCTTGACTTGTTCATATGTCTCCATTAAACCCTTTTGCCACATGGATGAATTTTCAGATTGATTGTTATCTGTAGAGCCTTCTTGACTATTTGTTGCTGTTGCTTCATTAGGTGGATTAGCAACCAAATCAGATAATTTTCGGCGGCAGATACGAAAAGCAGCGTCTGGTTCAAGGCGATTATCAATTCGCAAATCTTTTATGGATGGCACACGATTCGAGTAGGTGGTGAGTGAAAGATGAAGTGAAAGGAATTCGCAGTATTGCAAGAATAATCCTTGAGACTATATAAAATTATGTTTTTAGGTATTTAAACAATTATTCGATGAATTGAAATAAAAAATCGTAAACTTACTCTATCAACGCCATTAATTATCAATTTTATATGATGGAAATCCTTGTCCCCTTTTTCGGCGAAATGACGTTTGAGTCGGCCAAGCTCAATAGCTATTGGTATTGCCAAGCCAGTTCTCGTTAACGCTTCAGCTAACCTTCTAGAGCTCTTGCGAATTGATTTATCAGTGAATCCATATAGCTTTTCTTTTCGAATATTATCTCCTGTTCCCTTTATAGATATATCCATGGGTGACAAGACTCCTACAGCTCCAACAGTGGATGTGATTCCGCCCATTGCGTCAATCAACTGTGACAATACGATAAGATCATAGGCTTCTAATCTCTTTAGCTTTAGATAAATATATTTGAGTATGGATTCGATTGAGAAGTTCCCGTATTTTCGACATATGTTTCCACAGAACGTAGCAAGATCTATAGTAGAAACAGAAGCAGTCGATAAATATATTTACTAAAAATCCAAGATAAATCCAGAAAAATACATACTCACTAGCCAACTTGCATAATTTTGTCCATCTTCTTTGACTTTGTCATTATTTGAAGCCAAACTTTCAAGTACTAAATATATTATCACGTCGAAAGACAGCGAAGACAGATATTTACAGGATTCGACTAATGGCATCACTAAACTCGAATGATTTCTGACCCATCTAAGTAATGTATTGAACATTACTATTGGATTTGGATGCGAACTTCTTCCAATTTGTCGACTGAAATCGCGATAATTATCTTCAGTGATGCGACGTGTCACGTAATTAATAACTTCCTGAGTTTTACGGATTGCAGGTTTTAATTCATCATCAGGATTCTCGCAAATTCTCTTCCATTCTGCATATAGCGCAAATCTAAAGAAACGTGAATTAGTGATATTAGCTGCCAATTTCTTTGAATCTAGCGAAGGTTTATTTACCGTTCTTCAAAATTGATCAACTTCAAAAGATCCCACGCTTCTCCGACGAGTGAAGGTATTTCTGCTATCAATGCGGTCAATGTAATTCCGGGTAGTATGACCATAGCACAAATTTTATACCATTTATTTTTGATTTTTTGTTTGGCTTCGTTTATCTTTTGCTTCAATTCACTCGTGTTCTTTTTGAGATCTTCGGGTTCTAGATATTTCTCGTCATTTAGCTATTATAAGCATAGACAAAGTAAAAAATTAAAATGTATTAACCTCAAAAATTATGATAAAATGAAGTATTTTAAATACTTTTTTGAGCTGGGCTCTGCCAACTCTAATAAGTCTGGTTAAAGATGGAATATCCCTCGCAAATGCAGTCCCGATCAACAGAATTAATTCGTATCCTTTTTGCGTTACTTCTTCGACTTTGTTAAATTTCGTGATGATTTCATTTTTCTCGTGGTAGAAATGCGGTATCTTCAATTCAGGTTTTTTTATACCTGTATCACATTCAGATATATAAGCAGGCCTAACAGCAATTTCAAATATTGTGCGAAGTCGATCTCGAATCTCGTTGCTGAGTTTCATGTTATCTTTACAATATATGGGATATTTTGCATCTTGAAAATCGCCAATTTCCAATAATCCTATTATTATCTCATCTGTGTGCCCCTTCAGATAAGGAAGCACGTCAAGTATACACGTCAATCTTTGGTGTATAGTTATTGCGCAAGCTAAGTTTAATAGTTCAATGTTCTTTTCAGCGAATGCTACATTGTCAGAAAAATGTCGTTGATACCGATGTCCGAAAAGTTGACCGATGAACGGATTCCCAAGAATACTTGGCTTTATATCTTCATCAATACCATCGATCTCTCTTCGAGCATCCAGCATCAACACATCACCATTATCCGAGTTAATTTCACCCCATGGCGATATTTTCAAGAGCGTTATAAAGATTTTATAATCCGTCTTCACATTTTCAATTAATGCATCCAGTATTAAATCTAGAACGCGATTTGGGTCCAGTCTGAAATATCCAATGTACGCACTAATATGCTCTAATAGAATTTGTGCACGTTTGTTTAAAGCTATTTCATCTTCATCCTGATACTGTGGACCGACTGCTGCTGCCAATTCTTCTATCAGTTTTGCGAATCCTTCTGATTCTTCATGTAATAAGTTGTATTTTTGTTGTCGGTATCTATATGTCAATACAAAGATCATTTTCTTCTAATCAGAGGCCGTGTGCATGATTGATGGCGAGTGATAGTATATGGTAAAATTGATTAGGGACTTACTGCATCGATGTATTTATTCTGACTGATTTTCTTTCAAATGCAGATGGATTCTCAATAAGGCTAATACGTTTAAGCATGTTGGGATCGAGCCGTGTCTTTAATATGCGACTATCAACATAATCTTTTTCCTATTAGAAATAATGTAATTAAAGAATCAAGAGTGTTACAAATGAAAGATTTGCAACGATCTTTTTTTAATATAGTATTTATGCAAAAACCATCACAAAAACATTTTATCTCCTAAATTAAAAAACTATTATTCTCTAGTTCTTACCTTAACATAATTCATTATCGAGTCCAATCGTTCTCTGGTTACTGAAGCTGGCTCACCAAGAAGAATCGTGTCTTCCGAAGACTCTAAATCAGTTTCCCAAATGTAATCAAGAAACGTATCAATCGCTGCATTTTTTATTTCATTCGACTGGTCCTTGATTTCCTCAAAAAGGCTGTCGACCTCTTTTGTTCTGGTATCTCTGTCAGCGATTTTGAGTAGATCTTCTGTTCGTTCTAGTATTATTTTTTCTTCCATGGCTTATTTTTTGTTAACGATAGATGATGCGGGTAAACCTTGCACTTTTGTCGTGTAGAAATTTTACGAAATTGGTTGATTATCTAATTGTTTGATAGCTGAATCGATGTTAATAGTAACATTAAATATCCAGATGTCTGAGCCAATCAATGTTGAATATCATTCTGCCAGGGGACCTGAAAAATTTTTAAACAATAATCACGTGTTATAATTAGTCGGAGATATTTTATTGGTGATTTCCGGAAATAGATATCGGAATTTTGGAATAATTACTATTTTAATAATTAAAAATAATGAGATGTTTTAAATATCTTAGTTAATTAATCAACAGGTTATCTATACAACAACATGTAACTGGTGCTGATTTTTCAGAAAATTAATTAGAATCAAATATAATGTAAAAAAATTCAAATTTCTTATTTTGAAAAGTCTCTAATTCAAACTTTACTATAAATAAAATTTTAAATTTTCTGATATAATTTATACTTATCATATGAATGAAAAATTAATTCTATATCCTATCAATTTCATGAGCATATAAAAGAAATCATATCACATGAATATGATTATTAATAATTTAATAATATAAAAAATTATGAACAAAATAATAACATGATTTTTTGATTTTTGTTGAATTAATATTACTTCATATTATGGATCAGTGCAAAAAGATTTGTACCTCAATATAAAAATCAATAATTGCTTCTAATAAAAATCATTCAAATTTTAACCAATCTATATAATTTTTTATATTAAATAATAAATGATTTAAATTAACTTTTTATACTATTTTAATTATTTTATTATACTTTAATTTAATAATAAATAAAGTATTACTTTACTAAA